CCCATGTCACGTCAAGGGTCCTCCCTCCCATTTTCCTTAACGAGACACGCTGCTCGCTCCCTCACTATCCATCCTTCGGTTCAAACAGTCTTGTACTGCCATCTGGTGGTTAAAAAAGGTACTAGACATAAAAAATTAACCAACATTTCTTCTTAAATTTGACAATAATTACTAATTATTGTCAAATTTCAAACAATATTATCGTTTATCACAACAATTTCTGAGACAATTAATGGCCCAGCAAAGTTTGTTATTGTGACAGTCCTACATATGACTTTTATTTACTAGTAGAAAGTAGAGTTTAAGATATGTAAAAATACAGATGTACCAGTAAACAGCCCAACCTCGTGAGGGTTGGATTTACTATAGAACTGCTGATAAATTAGTTCAACTGATTTAAATAGTAATAAACTGAAGGTTTAATCTAACAAACATATTATATGTGATTTTGTTGTTTTGCTCTTGTAAATACGCTATATGTTAGGTTGTTCGGTTGGGTCACATTGCATTGTCGGGACTCCTTCAGGGTGGGAGTTGGACTCCACCAGGGCTGCCCGTTGTCACCGATTCTGTTCATAACGTTCATGGACAGAGTTTCTTGGTGCAGTCGGGGTGGAGGGTTTCTGGTTCGGTGGCCTCAGGATTCCAGCGCTGCTCTTTGCAGATGATGTGGTCCTGTTGGCGTCATCGTGCCATGATCCTTCAGCTCTCACTGCAGCGGTTTGCAGCCGAGTGTGAAGCGGCTGAGATGAGAATCAGCACCTCCAAATCTGAGGCCATGGTCCACAGTCGGAAAATGGTGGATTGCTCTCTTCAGGTCGAGGAGGACGTTCTGCCTCAAGTGGAGGAGTTCAAGTATCTCGGAGTTTTGTTCATGAGTGAGGTAAGAATGGAGCGTGAGATGGACAGACGGACTGGTGCAGCATCTGCAATATTGCGGACTCTGTTCCGGTCTGTTGTGGTGAAGAGGGAGCTGAGCTGTAAGACAAAGCTCTCTATTTACCGGTCGGTCGTTCCTGCCCTCACCTGTGATCACAAGCTCTGGGTAGTGACCGAAAGAATGAGGTCATGGATACAGACGGTTGAAATGAGTTTCCTCTGCAGGGTAGCTGGACTCTCCCTTAGAGACGGGGTGAGAAGTTCAGTAATCAGGAGAGACTCGGAGTAGAACCACTGCTCCTCCACATGGAGAGGAGCCAGTTGAGGTGATTCGAGCATCTGGTAAGGATGCTTCACTTTGAGCATGTCCAACTGGGAAGAGACTCCAGGGAAGATCCAGGACATGGAGAGACTTTGTCAGTTGGTCTGGGAACGCCTTGGAGTCCTCCCAGAAGAGCTGGAAGAGGTGGCTGTGGAAAGAGACGTCTGGACCTCCTGATCAAGCTGCTGCCCCCGTGACCCGACTTCAGAACAAGTGGAAGATGATGGATGGATGCTTTTGTTAGGTGGTTTTCCAGGATTTTATTTGTCAGGCTGACACTGAAGAGCTGAAGGCCAGAGCGTTTCTTCCTGGTCGCTCCTTTGAAGAAGTAAAACCACTTTAGCATGAAGATGTGGCATCGTGGTCTTCAGTTTCAGGTGTTCCTGTCCTGTAGTCACGTCACGTAGTGATGGACCATAAAGACCCAGACTGACTTTATTCATATTTTTCATTTGATGAACTAATCACAGGTGAAACGTCTTCCAACAGGTCGGCTGATGCACCTTTATGCCATCTGTGTGGACTGTCTGGAAGGCGTCCACAAGATCGTCTGCATCAAATGCAAGTCCCGTTGGGACGGGAGCTGGCACCAGCTGGGCACCATGTACACCTACGATATACTGGCGGCCTCGCCCTGCTGTCAGGTACGTGCTGTCCGGATCTGTGAGGGGCATCGGTCAGCACCTTTTCAAAAAAGAGAAGCTACGTTGACCCGGTCCGTTGGACTTTTGAAGCTGTTGAGAATTTGACAATTAAATTCTTATTGCGACTCATTTTAGCCAAAAATCTAACGAACTTTGTGTTTTTAAGTGTGTTTATGTTTTTACAGGTATGGCCAAGAAATTGAGAAACTAGAAAAAGTTTTTCCCTGAAAGTAAATTACTATAGTAACAGAAGTACTACTGGTACTGTTACTATTACTAGTTGGGTACAAGTAGTACTAATATGAACTGTAGCACTAATATTAGAAATAATTTTAGCATGAGTACTATACTAATATTGGTACTGTTAGGACAGATATTAATGGTGTAACTAGTACTAGAGGGAGTAGTTGTAGTACAACTAAGATCAAATAGAACTTTATTGATTTTCCAGGAAATTGTACTACTGTACTTACTACTGTAAACTCATAGTATTAGTACTAGTACTGCTAGTTTCTAGTTATGCTTGTAGCACTCATACTAACTCTAATAGTAGTACTGGTAATAGTACGAGCAGCAGTAATGTCAGTTCTGGTACTAAACTAGTATTATAAATTAGCACAATACCTATACTCGCAGAATTACTAGAATGACTACAGTACTAATAGGACTAGTAACAGTTGCAGTACTTCCATTTGTATTAATACTAGTAGTAATGCTAGTAATACTGACACTAGCTCCAGTAGTAGTACTGGTAGTGGTAATATTCATACTAGTACTAAACTGGTTTTAATAGCACAATTACTATTAATTACTATGTAATTACTAATAGTCCTAGTATTGGTACTGTTAGGACAGATACTAATGGTGTAACTAGTACCTAGTCCTTTTTTGTATTGAATGCTTTTTGAATACTAGTCCTATAGTATTGGAACTAGTACTATTGATTTTCCATACATATTTTTTTAAATACAATTTTTTTTTTTTACCTTTATAGATTTTTTTTTTATTTAAAGTTGAGATAGCTCTAAGATTGACTAGTTTATTACTAGAGGGAGTAGTTGTAGTACAACTAAGATATAACTTTATTGATCCCACAGGAAATTGTACTACTGTACTTACTACTGTAAACTAGTAGTATTAATACTAGTACTGCTAGTTTCTAGTTATGCTTGTAGCACTCATACTAACTCTAATAGTAGTATTGGTAGTACTACAAGTAGTAGTAATATTACTTCTGGTACTAAACTAGTATTATAAATTAGCACAATTACTATACTCAAAATTACTAGAATGAGTACAGTACTAATAGGACTAGTAACAGTTGCAGTACTTCCATTAGTATTAAAACTAGCAGTGATGCTAGTAATACTGACACTAGCTCCATTAGTAGTACTATTAGTGGTAATATTTGTACTAGTACTAAACCAGTTTTAATAGCACAATTATTATAGTATTGCTAGTCCTATAGTATTAGGAGTAGTACTACTGACTTTCCATAAATTCATATTTTGTAGATTTTTTTAATATTAAAATGTTTTGTATTTTTAATCATTTAAAGATTAAAAAAAATAATAATTTTGATATTTTTTATTTAAGGTTGAGATAGCTCCAAGACCGACTAGTTTATTGTGGTAAAAATAAAAAATAAAAATAGTATTTTAGTCAGTTTAGGTGGTCAGTTTGTCCCCACAGAACACGAATAGTCAACGTTGAAGGAACTTCCAGGAGTTGATGCTCGTGTTCGTCCCCGAAATCACTAAACGTTCCTCTGAGTCTGAGCTCCAACTGCAGAACTCTTAGTTTCTATAAATTAAATAAAACCAGTTGAATAAAAACTTGTGAGCTTTTTTTGTCTTTAACCTGAACTTGAGCTCTCGATCAGTCGTTTAGAACTACTTCCTGTATTTACGTCACCGTTTGATGCTTTTTTTTTAACGAGTCCCATCGAGGCGTCTCCTGAGCTGACCCGTGTCCTGTGTGTCCCCAGGCCCGTCTCAACTGTAAACACTGCGGGAAGCCGGTGGTGGATGTCCGGGTGGGGATGCAGTATTTCTCCGAGTACAGTAACGTCCAGCAGTGCCCTCACTGCGGCAACCTGGACTATCACTTCGTTAAACCCTTCTCCTCTTACAAAGTCCTCGAGGCTTATTGACAAATGTTTTAATGCATGCTAGTTCAGCTGCTTTTGTTCTCATATTTTATTATTTCTAACTCAATCTAGGACAAATTTTATTTTTTATTTTTGTTTTGTGGGGGGTGGGGTTAAGTTGGTTTTATGTTCTTAAGTAAAATAATACAACTCTGGTTACGGCAGAAGAATGGAGCTGGAGGACGGCGTCTGCGGTTAAGAGTGTTGATAAAGTGTGGAGCTGATATTCAGGTCAGAAAAACACTTTTATCTGTGACAAGTGAATGTACATGTAAGCCAAATTTACTTTTATTTTTTACCAAATGCAATCCTAAATTTAAAAAAAATAAAATTAAATAAAAATTTTAAAAAAGAATCCCACTCGTTTTTCTTCAAGTTCTCATTTTCACTTCCGTCTCGCCGGTCGACAACTTTAATAAAATCAACACGTTCACATGTAGAAAGAAAAAAAACTGATAGAAGTGCCGTATTTTTCAAACTATAAGGCGCACTTAAAATCTTTTCTCAAAAATCGACAGCGAGTCTTATGATCAGGTATGTATCAATTCTGGTTGTGCTTACCGACCACGAACCGATTGTTTTATGTGGTTATTGTGACTGAGCTGAAAAAAGTTTGACTTGCCGGTTTTGTTTCGCTTAATAGTCCGAAAAATCCGGTAAAATCAGAAACCGCTCCTGTGCTTTCCCTCATTTAACGAACGAAACGAACTCTTCAGAAGGCTGAAAGATTTTAGACTCGACGTGCATTTTCAGAAGGCTGTTGGACTCTCATCTGTTTTATAACTTTTACAAAATTCTGCTGTAGAATCGTGAAAAAGTGACGCAAACAAAATGTTCCTGCGCAGACGAGTAAAAGCTCCGTCCAGTATTAGCGCACGAGTCTCGCATGATTTGACGTCCTCTTACAGCAACATTTTATATAAAGTATACAAGTCAAAAAACATGTATTTTAAAACTGAACGCAACAGAAGCCTCTTTCAGGTCGCTTTGATCCCATCTGTGACGGTTCTTGGGAATCGAATTGCATTTGAAGAGCCGTAAGTGCAGGTCTGAGGTGTCTGAACTGAAACCGGTTTCCCCTTCAGAGATAGTCTGGACCCCTTCAACCCACGTAGGTTAGGTAGTCGGAACATAATCCACCCTGAGCTGAGCTCTTGGACCTCCTGAACCGACGTGACCCCACACGAGCAGTAAAGTTTACAACACGGACAGAGGTGCTTGAATGTGAAGCCTTTAGAATTTTCTATATTTCTGCATAAATAAAAAGAGAGCCCAGTTAAATGAGACAAAATATTTTACTTGAGTTATTTATTTATTGAGGAAAATGATCCAATATTACATATTTGTGAGCGGTAAAAGTATGTGCACCTCTGGGATTATCGGTTAATTTGAAGGTGAAATTAGAGTCGCGCGTTTTCAATCATTGGGATGATGATCAGGTGTGAGGGGGCACCCCGTTTGACTTAACGGGATCTGTCAACTCTTCACAGCATGTTGGTGGAAGTGGATCATGGCAGGAGCAAAGGAGATTCCTGATCTCAGAAAGGAGTTGTTGACGCTCATCAGGCTGGAAACGGTTACAAAACATCTGTAAAGAGTTTGGACTCCACCAATCCACAGTCGGACAAACTGTGGACAAATGGAGGAACTACAAGACCATTGTTACCCTCCCCAGGAGTGGTGCACCAACATAGATCATGTGGATCACGTGGACAAACCAGAAGGTTGTTGGAAGAATGTTTTGTGGACGGATGAGACCAAAATAGAACTTTTTGGTTTAAATGAAAATGTTTGGAGAAAGGAAAACAGCACTCCTGCAGAAGAACCTGATCCCATCTGTGAAACGTGGTGGTGGAGGTGTCATGGTTTGGGCCTGTTTTGCAGCATCTGGGCCAGGACGGCTTGCCGTCATTGATGGAACAATGAATTCTGAATTCTATCAGAGAATTCTAAAGGAAAATGTCCGAACATATGTCCATGAAGTGAATCTGAAGAGAAGGTGGGTCCTGCAGCGACACAATGACCCTCGGCACACAAGTGGTTCTACCAAAAGAGTAAAGTTCATGTTTTGAAATGACCAAGTCAAAGTTCTGACCTTAAGCCAATCCAGATGTTGTGGAAGGACCTGAAGCAGCAGTTCATGTGAGGAAACCACCATCGTCCAGAGTTGGAGACGTTCTGTACGGAGGGATGGGTTCAAATCCCTCCAAGCCGTTGAGCAGGACTGATCCACAGTATCCAGAAATGTTTAGTTGTAGTTACTGCTGGGGGGGGGGGTCACACCAGGTACCGAAAGTAAAAGTTCACATACTTTTACCACTCACAAATATGTAATATTGGATCATTTTCAAGTATAATATTTTGTCTCGTTTGCTTAACTGGGTTCTCTTTATCTACTTTTAGGACTCGTGTGAAAATCTGATGTTTTAGGTCAAATTTATGTAGAAATATAAAAAAAATTCTAACTTTCAAGCTTAAAAATAATGTTTTCACAACTACTGTACGTTAATTTGTTTTTCTGGTGCTGATCGAAATCCTGAATACAACGGTTTGATGAATGACGGGAAGTTGCGCAGGTGAGTTTGATGTTTGAAAGAGCCCGCTGTGGTCACTGGAAGCTCAGGACGGTCTGAGCTGCGTCTGACGTTAACGAGACGTGGACGAGTTTAACTCTTCGGTCTGTGAGCTCTGACGTCATGAATGTCTACTTTAAATCAAGTAACTGAGCTTGTCACGTTTTAAACCACAGAGCTCGTTGTCCTTAATCGAAACACCAGCACACCCACTGACGTCCCGCTAGTCGCTCGCTTCCATCCCTCAGTGGGACGTGGATGCGTGCGTTTCAACCATTTCATCGCAAAACGTTTTGGGGCTCCACCAGGTGTGAACAGTGGAGCCAGACCCGCAGTCAAAGCGCCCAGAACACGTCTGAGCAGCACCCGTGAAGTTGTTTTGCAGCTGACTCGTGTGTTTTTTCACAGTCGTGAACATTTTTATTTCAGGTTTGTGGTTTTTCCATCCGTTATTTTAGACTCTTAGGACGGGAAGTCTCTGCTGTTTTATGACAGATTCTGGTTTGCAGCTTTTCTTCTCGAGTGTTTTTTTTTTAATCAGCTGACGTGATTTGCAACAGGAAACGTGAACAGCTGAAAGAACCCCGAGCTCCTGGCTCTGTCTCCAAACTATAAACAAAGTCCGTATGAGGCCCCGAGCTGTGACGTGAAGGCGCAGTTGTTTTGTACTTGTGAGACGTTTGACCCATTACTGCTGTGCACACTCTTCTGGCGTGACCTTGTTGCCAACAGGTGTTTCGCTCTGAGCCTCCTCAGAAGGTTTTGCAGCTTTTTGTGTTCTTTTCTGCAACAGTTCATTTTTGGACAGCGGCCGGACGGTGCACGTGGCTGTGCGACCTTCTCGTTTCACTTTTGGTTGAGAGACGAAGGCCACCATGATGCTCATTTGCTCCACAATTTGCCCCAGAGCCGAGTCCTGCAGAAAGAAAACACGAACGGAGTTCAAGGCGGGGCGGATATTTCTACCATAGATCTTTGTTGTGCCTCCTAAGTTACACTCAAACTAATGAAAACCACAGAAATTGCATGAAAAGAACTTGATGAAAACAGCTGAAATTACAGTCGCTAAAAACATGCTGAAATGTAGCTAAAATGTAAGAACAAGCCTAAATAAACAAAAGAAAGCAGAACGAACACAGATTTGCTGAATTAGGTTTGAATAAGCAGAAATAAGCACAAAAATTAGGAAATAAGCTTAAAAAAGGCGTAAGATTAAAAGTAGCTGAAAGGGCCAAAAGAAGCTTAAACCTGAAGGAAGCAGAAAGAACTGAAATGAGCTGAAAAAATGTGGAATTAGCTGAAACAGCTAAAATTAGCATAAAAATAGCTAAATAGTAGCTGAAAGAGCAGAAAAAGATGAAACTAGAAGAAAAACGCTGAAAGGAGCATAACAAGCTGAAATTAACATAAAGAAGTTAATTAGGCTGAAAGTAGCGAAAATAGTCACAAAAACCTTGCATTTATCTGAAAACAGATGAAATTAGCTTTAAAATGCTGAAAAGTTAGAACAAGCTTAAATTGGCATAAGAAAGCAGAAAGAACATGTTTTCCCGATTAGGCTGAAGGAAGCAGAAATGAGCACAAAGAAGTGGAAATGATCTGAAATGAGCTAAAACACAGCTAAAAAGTAGCTGAATAAGCAGAAATAAGCTTAAATTACATGAAGGAAGTGGAGAGAGCACATTTTTGCTGAATTAGGCTGGAAAAAGTTTAAATGAGTGTAAAAAAAATGTGGAAATAGCTGAAAAAGCTACAATCAGCATAAAACAGCTAAATTGTAGCTGAAATAGAAGAAAAAGCTGAAACTTGCATAAATAAGCTGAAAGGAGCAGAACAAGCTGAAATTAGCAGAAAGAAGTTAGAAGAAGCACAAAAATGTTGTAGTTCGCAGAAAGAATCTGAAAGGAGCACAAAACAGCTGAAATTAACTGAAAATATGTTTACATTTGCACAAGGAAGCTGAAAGAAGCTGAACCAGAACAAAATGTGAAAGGAGCAGTAAAAGGTTGTGAACACATCTAAAGATTTGAAGGATGTAAAATGAGCTCAGTTCATTTTCTACGAGACAAAAGTGGCTGAAAAGGCTAAATATTTCAAAAAGCTCAAATTGTACCAAGACCAAAGTCATAGCGGGAAAGAGCTGAACAGTTTGATTCATGATTTGTTGAAATGGCACAAAAATTGTGGAACGAGGAAGATGGTGAAAGACTTACGGAAGAAAAACGGATCCTATCGGAGCGAAAGCTTCATAAGAGTTGACACGTCAACATGAATTTGCTCAGTTTTATCTTTCCTCACCAGGTTATCGACAGGCTTGTTTCTTTTTGCCAGCAGCGTGAGCCTGACGTGGTGCCTCTTCTCCAGCCAGCTCTCCAGTTGTTTCTGTTTGGTGGTGAGGTCGTGAGGTGCGATGTCGACTTTAAAGGTGAGCTCCTTCAACTGCACAGACGCTGTGGAGACAACGGAGACGAGCTAGCACCGACTACCACTGCAGAGCAGCGTGCACACAGAAACTAAATACAACTGCATACTCTGCACAGAATACACGTTCAATGTGTGTAAATATACAAACAGCAGAATTAATGTCTCTACAGTGTGTTTTAATCAACCACAAATGCCTACTTTAGTTCCTTTTTCATCTTTAAAACCATTTTAAAGGTGACCTAAGTGTTTTTAGGCTTATGTATTTTAACACAATAGAAAGTGTTTTCTACAAAATCTCAAGCGGTCTACAGTTTTTCTTCTTCACTTCCTGTTTTTTCCTGTGCGACCGTGGTCTGGGCTCCTGAACGACCCACCTGCCTTCGCCTTGTGCTCCCCCCACAGTTTCATCTGCTCTTCGTGGATCTGTTTGCCGCTCATCAGCTGGTACACCGGAGGGTCTTTGTGTTTATGGAGCAGCACCAGTTTCAGATTCTTCGTGTCCATCAGTCTGATGGCTTTGCTTGAATGCATGACGCCCAGATTCTCGCCGGTGTCACTGACCACCTGGATCTCTTTGTGAGGGATCTTACGGCCGACGCTGACGATTGAGCCGTGCGCTTGGAGATCCTGCTTCTTTTTCGTTGTCGCAGGCGTCTCTTTTACGTCATCAGCTTCTGAGGAGAACGAAGATCTTCCCCAGGTCGCTGGGATGACGTTCTGACCTCCGCAGTACATCAGGAATCTTGATGTGGGTGTTCCGTAGACAAGCCCCCCACGGCACGCAGCTCTCACCGTGTGGCTCAGAAGCCACCGAACACAACCAGCAGACATAACTTGAACACATAAAAAATAAAAATAAAAATCATGTAATGAAACAGAAAAGAGCATCAAAAGCAATTTGTGCAGCTGTGATCCAGTTAGAATCTGTCACTGCTCACATGACGCTCCTGAACGGTAACTCCACCAACTTAAAACTTTTGCCCGTTAACTTTTTATTTTCCTTCTCTGTGTCCCCGAAAGACGAAGGCGGAGCGACGATATTTTTGCCAAATCATTCAGTGTGCACCTAAAACTGAAAACCTTGTAGACACAATCCAACTCGAGATGGTCGTCACAGCTAGGCCTGCCACGATAACAAATTTTGCTGGGCGATTAATTGTCTCGGAAATTATTGCGATAAACGATAATATCGTTTGGAATTTCACAATAATTAGTAATTATTGTCGAACTTAAGAAGACATTTAATTTTTGTGTGGCGTACCTGTTTTGACCACTGGATGGCAGTATAAAACCATTTCAAGCAAAGGATGGATAGTGAGGGAGCGAGCAGTGTGCCTCTTTAAGAAAAATGGGAGGGAGGACCCTTGACGTGACATGAGCTGTCTCTCTTTGGTTCTCAAAATGGTGGACGCTTCGTGTGGTTTGAGCTCTT